AGGGCACTCGACCCTTCACTGGGTCAATCCATGTCATTCCCATCCTTGCCCCAGCTAAAACTTCGATTGGAGGTCCCTCTCTGGACTGACCTTAATGAAGCCAGATACCCCCCACCACACACTCACTCAGGTGAGTCTGATGCTGATTCAAGCATCACAGGCACAAGGGAACCTTCGCCAATGTATGCGCAACCGGTACCAGTGGGAGGGGCAGACAATCAGGAGCTGTCGGAGGAGGGGTCATCTGAAGAAGAGGATGCTGACGCAGACCCAACGTACCTGGTCCCGCAAGGGCATGGGCGCTTCGCCCTCCGCTGGTCCAGGCTCGCCACTGCAGCTGACAACTTTGCCAAGGGCAACGCACTAACAGAAAGCGCCATCATTGCTAATTGGCTGACCTCCAGGTTGGAGATGCAATGAACCGAATGGGGTGGTACCTCCTCTCGTCTGGGCAAGAACTCACGAGGCTGAGCGATGGTGAACTCTATCGTCACTTCCACTACGGCTATCCAAACTGCCGAGAAGAAGACCGACCATATCAGAAGTATGGTGATCATGTGTGCAGCGAGAAGGAGTGGCAGGAGATGAGCTACTGGCTCACAGGAGATCCTACCTTCCTCAATAAACTGGCAATCCACCGCCTGGAGCTGTATGACAAGACAGTAGGAGCCAAAGACGAAGGAACGAGTAGAAACAAATCTCATCGGGTCGCTCCTCCTGCAGGTACAGGTAGTTCCTCCTCCACTGCCCGTTTTCCCAATCGCAACGGACCTCCCCCTCCGCCTCAACCGAGACATTGGGGTCCACGGTAGAGAGATAGCGACAGCTGCACGCAGAGGTGCCCCTGGATTAAGACGTGACTACCTTCTAGTAGTAGAAAGTAGGAGAATGTTGTGGCCTCAGCTGCTGCATTCTGGTGGTCCCTTCCGCGAGGGGTTGATATCTTGTCCAACGTGAGCAAAGTTTCTAGGCTCAAGGAAGCGACACAGCCATGTCACGCTGCCAGCAGCGAGCAGTGCCACCGAACTGCAATGAGCCACATACCATTGTGTTGGCTACGCTTGCGGGCAATGAATACCACATGCCAGCAAACTTAGCGCGCTATGAGGACCTCTCACAATTAGAGGATGATGTCGTCAGCTTCCTGCCAACGGTCTCTGACATTGAAGTGTTTGGCTGCGAAGTTGACCTCATTGAGCCGGATACTCAGTTGCCATTGCGAGATCCCTTCCACCCCACTCTACAGAAGCGAAACAGGCTTCAGGTGATTGTCAGACCATGCATGGAGGAAGGGCAGTCAGTCTGGCAATTCCAAGACAGTGATAGGAATCACCCAGATTGGATCGGCAGCTTGGCAAAGCCATCAGCTGCAGATTGTTAGGCTGCCGCCCTCTGTTGTTTGTCTCCAAGATGGGGCTTTCCAAGGATGCTATGTACTTAGGCAAATCACAGCCCCAGGGTGTGTCCAATTTAGTCGGAGGGTCTTTGCAGAATGCTGCTCGCTCAGTAGGATAGGTACTGGCAACGAAGCCGCTAACGCGTTGGCTCCAGGAGCGCAACTTGGTCCGCAGTTCCTTTTGCCATGGCCAGGAATACTAAGTCAAGGGCCCTCCCCGATGGCAGCTTCTGCGGGGCTGGCATCGAAAGTCTCCGCCTTCCTCCAGACTTTCAGGCCTGAAGGCGTGTGAGAATTGCAAGCGGCTAGTGGAGGTTGACCTTACGTGCACGGACATTACTGCCATCTGGAGCTCCACCTTTGCGTATTGTGTTGCCGCATTGCCCTGGTCGACATTTGGCTACCACCAAAGGTCCAACGAATCGGCGAGGAAGCCTTTCTCTGCTGTACATCACTTCGGGAATTAGTCATCCCGCCAAAGCTTCAATACCTTGGGATTCGTGCATTTTGCGGCTGTGAGCAACTCGCACTCTTCACACAGCTTGATAAAGCATACCCACATAGAGGAGTGCAAGCGGAAGACAATGCCTTCCTGATGTGTGACAATTTTGAACGAGAGTCTTGGATCGAACTGCTCCCACCGAGAGACACGGACTCGGACGCCTTTGGCGAAGAGCTTCATAAAGGGCTCTACTAACAGGACACCCTCGCATCGTAGGGGGGAGCATACCCTGGGTGAGTGCCTCAGCACGCGAAGGGAGCTAAAACCGGGTAGATCCAGTCCTCACCTTATCTATGTGCTACAGGTAGGTGCTCCGGTCATGCCTATCCCAGAGCCAGGTAGACAGCCGACCCTAAGCATGTTCATTGGTAGGCCAGCATGATGGTGTTGCGGCAGTGCTGTGCTGGCTCAAATCAGGAAACTCTGCACAGGCTAGAGCCAATGGCAAGCCCTAGTGCCTCTAGTCAAGACTCATCCAGGGAGAGCGAACCTGTCATGGAATGCCGTTTGGTGCTCACAACCCTGTCGGGCACGGTGGTGGAAATAACCACGAGCGTTGCTAAATATGACAGATTGGAGGACCTAGAAGACCACGTAGTTGACTATCTAGCCTCAGTGACTGACCTCGATGTCTTCGGACGTACGCTGGACTTCGTACACCCCACAATGCAAACCTATCTCGATGACCCAATATGGGATGTTTTGCAAAAGAACACGCAGTTTACCATAGTGCTTCGGGACTGCCTCGCTGTCCTTCATTCGAAGGAAAGTTTCGACGGATGTCCATATCGTGATATCCCACAGGCGGTCAAAGTTCCACTGAACCTGGCAGGAATCGTTCCCGCTGGTGCCTTTGTCGCTGTGCCACGCCTGCGTCGTGTCAGTGTAGAAGCAGGCGTACGTGCAATTGGAGCTGAAGCCTGGCAGAGCTGCCGGCATCTTCGGGTGGTCAGAATGCCTAGTACTGTGGTGCGAATAGCGGATAACACCTTTCGAGGGTGCCAGCTGCTCAACAGCATCACAGCACCAGGCTGTGTAGAATTTGGATACAAAGCATTTGCGGATTGTTGCTCCTTGCAGACGATCCACGCCAACGGAGGTGGGGTCAACCAATTTGGAAGTACAACCAAGTTTGGGCACTACCTCTTTCGAGACTGCATCAACTTAGCCACCTTTGTCCTTGTGGAGGACGGCCGCCAACAGGAGCCACAGACTCAGCCTGAGGCTAAAGAATTGCCGCCGGGATGTCTGAGCTCTACTGGAATCACTACACTAGAGTTAACTCGAGACTTCCAAGTGCTGGGTGCACATGCCTGTGACAACTGCAAGTTGCTTAAGCAGGTAGATATCTCGAACTCAAGCATCGAGGAAATCCAGGAGTTCACTTTTGTGCACTGTGCCAACCTCCGTGAGGTCGCCTCGTGAATAAATCCTTGCTATCGAATTGTGTTCTGCTTCATGTCCTGACGGATTGGAAAGCGGTTAAATTGCATAATTGGGCGTGATCGAGGATTGGGGTACCACTTGGCTATTATCCAATTCAGGGGAAATAATATATCCCCAATTGATCAAAATTCAATTCAAAATCATGATGAACCTTTGGTTGATGGATGGAATATTCAATTTGGCACTTTCTCATGAGGGCAAAATCAATTCGAGAGGTATGATGATCGCGGCCAAATGTGACCTGGTATTTATCATTACAATGCAGGACAATGAAATCGAAATCTTGGATAAATTGAGCCAACATTTGTTTATCCTGCTGGGCGGCCTGATGATATTTGGGATCACTTGTAAGAATTAGATATAGGAAATAATTTAATGATATATTAAAATCACCACAGATTTGCACCAGGAATCGGTGGGGGATATGGGCAAGCCATTGATGCAATTGCGTCCATACATATTGACACATTTGGTCAGGGTCTGTCAGCCTGCATACGTCGAGAATTCGGGCCCATCTAGTTAGTACGACACTCCCTCATGTTTCACACGTCTCACCTTAGCGCAGACGAAACTCTGCTCACATTGGTCATTGGGGTCTTGTGGTTGTAGCGGTTTTTGGGGTGGGTTTTGGGTCTGGTTTGTGTGTGTTCTTGGTTGCTTTCGGGTTGCTCCCCTTATCAATAAGCAGAGTTTCCATCCTTTCTTTGATGACCTGGGCACACCGCCCACATGGCGTCCGCACTCGTGGAAAAAAACAGCTTCACTGTCGTTTCACTGTATCTGTACAGACCCGAATCTCCTTTTCTCTCGGTGCTGTCCCTTTGGGTTGCTTTGTTTGGTTTTGTGGGGGTGGTTGTTTGTTTGTTTGTTTGTTTGTGTTTTGCTCTTCAATGAGATTTTGGAGATTCACAACTTAGTCCAAGATGACCTGTGCACCATGCACGCATAAATGGCGTCTCAACTCGTGCCAAAAAAAAAGCTTTGGTTTGGGCCGACAGGGCCGGAGACTTGTTTAGACAGTTCGGTGCGTCACAGAAAGACACCATGATTTATGAGCTTGAGTTTTTTGCTGGAGTCCTTTCTTTACAATTCTGGAGCGAGACCACAAATGCAAATTTGCAAGTTTGAGATGATGCTGTGAGATTTTCGTTGATAAAGGGCTCCGCAGAAGGTGAAGTGGGAAGAGCCTTGATGGAACATCACCAGCACCATGAGTCCACTTTTAGTTCACAAGCATGGTTTGCTCGCATGCCTACCGAAGCAAACATCAGCGACTGCCCCTCTCGGGGAGCTGAGCATCCCTTGCTTGAAGCCGCAAAATGCAAGAGCCTAGAAGCCAGAGCATTGTTCGATCATGTTTTTTGAGTCTTTCAAAACGAGGAATCAGGTCTTGAAAAGGGGGAGTTGACTCAGAGAAAAAATGAGCGCGCCTGTTTCTTGTGTAAACTCTCATGAGACCAAACGAATGAATGACAGACTGGTTTTTACAGCTTTGAAAACTTCAAGTTTGCGATCTGCTGGAATTTTGCAGTGTTCGTGACTTTGACCTCGATGAGTGGTGTTTACCTTTACCATGCGTTCGCAGATTGAAAACGGCAAACAAAAAGTATTAGCTGCATTGTGCCAACCCTGCGATTGGTTGGTTCTAATGTCTGTAGTTTTCAGGCTCAAGCGTGAATGTAAGTTCGCCTCCGGCCATGGCGCTCAACAAACTTAGGCAGCGCAATTTAAATTGAATGTGGAAACGTGTAGTTACATTTATGAAAACAAAAACACCGTTCATGACTTGCTTTCTTTTGTGCAGGATTGATTCCGTGGATGTGTCTGGCAAACGAGTTTTCATCCGCGTCGATTTCAATGTTCCTCAAGACAAGAAGGACGAATGTTCGGCTGTTTGGCAAGCTCAGAACGAATTGGGCGGGTGGTATGCCCTCACTTGCTTTTCCAGGACCCAAGCATCATCACCAACACTCAACGCATTGATGCAGCGCTTCCAACTATCAAGTACTGTCTTGACAAGGTGAATTCTGTTGCTGTTTTTGCTTCTTGTTCGACTCCATTTTTCAACAGCTGTGGCCATTCGTTTTGGACCGTCACCAGTCAGCTCTGTGTTGTGCTTTGCAAGGGCTGCAAGTCTGTAGTGCTTTGCTCCCATTTGGGACGACCTGACGGCAGCGCTGTGGAGAAGTACCTCCATCCGCGTTGGAGTTGCTTCCAGAGTTGGCAGCCTCTAGTGAGTCTACGTAGTGCCCAGGTATTCTTTGGCACCTGTGGCCAAGTGTGTGCAAGAGAAGTTGGGCAGACCAGTGACCTTTCTCAAGGAACCATGTCAAATCAAATTGCATGACTGGATGCTGTTTGCCACTGTTTTTGCAAAAGGCTATACAAATGTTTGCATTTTTAAGTGTTTTTTTAAATCTTTTTAAGACTTTTTAGTTCCTCGTGGCAGGACTGTTGTGGACCAGAGGTCGAAGCTGCTTGTGCAAACCCCACGAGCGGTTCAGTGATCTTGTTGGAGGTCACGATGCGAAGCGGTTAAAGATCAGTCTCGGTATGTTGTTTTGCATGTAAAAACATCTGAAGGAATAAAGTCAAGGCGGCCTTATTAAAGGGGTCCCTATATGGAATTTTTCATATTTTTTGACACATCAGGCCAGTCTGTCCGTTTCTCAATGATTTCTGCCGCACTGAGCAGCCCTTTCTGCCAGAATTGTCGATTCCACGTAGAGGAGGAAGGCAAGGGTGTTGACAAGGCCTGTTGTGGGTTCAGATATGAGATGGAAACATCATGATTGAATCATTCATAGCTCGTGCTTCGTGCAATATTGTTTTGTGTCGTCCTTTTCTCCAGCCACGATGCCACGCCTATACTATATGTTACTGTCAAATGCAATTTTTTAGCGTGCTTTTTGCGTGTTTGCTTCTCGGAAGGATGGCAACAAGATCAAGGCCGACAAAGAGAAAACGAAGGCGCGTGGAGGGCAAACTCATAGCACGGTCATTTTGAGGATCAGAGGCCCAATGCTTTGGCAGTGCTTGTTGCAGCTTGTGTGCTTTCTTTTGCATTTGAGAGGAGTTCCGTGCTTCGATAGCCAAATTGGCCGGCATTTATTGTGGCTTGGAAAGGCTTAGCTCGGCTTAGATGAAAGTGTGATCAGCTGATCATGCTCTCAGGTAGTGATGCTTTTGGCACTGCACATCGTGCTCATAGTTCTATGGTTGGCGAGGCGCAACGGATCTAAGCTGGAAAGCTTTGTGGAAAGGAGTTGTGCTAAGTTCGTGCACCCGGATTTATGTATTTAAATATTTATCTCTGTATTTAAATCTATTTATTGTCTATTCTATTTTCAGGGCCTTCAGCCATAAAGACTTTGGAGCAGGTCTCGTAGCATGTTCCAACGCATGTTCCGAGATCAGTTCCGGAGCAAGTCCAGAAGCAGGTTCCAAAGGACGTTCCACAACAACTTTGTGCAGATATGCTGTTATGTTGACATCGTCATGTCCATGATGCTGACATGTGATGATGCCGGTTATCATGCTGAGGTGCTTTCACACGAATTTGCTGACATGGTGTTGTGTTGTGTTGTCACGCTGGAGTCATTCTGTCGGGCTGACATGCATATGTGGGCGCACCTGTACATATTGCAATGTTTTTTTGAAAAGGCGCGCATTTTTCAAAAAAGGGATGCCCGGCAAAGGCAAAGACATGCAAAGGCGACACTGGTTGGTGAAGTTGCCATGTTGCCATTGCCTACTGGGCAGGCTCATAGGGCTTTCTTTTTTGGGGTCCTTCCTGTAACGCCCTTGAAGCCTCTCTTCTCTTCGCATCCAAGTCGCTTTCAACACAGGGCTACGCTGTGAAGTGCTCCGGCTTTCTCGTGGCCAAGGAGGGGCTAAGGTGGCTGAGAGGCGCTGAGAGGCCTTTCAGATCCAAACATAAAAGCCTGAACTGTGTTGCACAGTGCATGATCCAACCAGTGGGTGAGGCTGGGTGAGGTTGTAGATTGTAGAGAGTTGGTGTAAACCACGCGTTTCTCTACAGCGGAGCTTCTGCTTTTGAGGAGCTGGAGGCCTTTGCCAAGGTCTTGGATGCTCCAGTGCGGCCAGTCTGTGCCATTTTGGGTGGGGCGAAGGCAAGCGACTCGAGTCACCCATGGACTGCTTTGCGCATGAGGGTGTTGTGCAGGTGAGCGACAAGATTCAGCTGATTAAGAACATGTTAGACAAGGCGAGGCAAAGTGTGCTCACGGGTCCTGATCTGCACCTTGCTTGTCTCAGTCTCTAGATTTCCTAAGGTGAGCCAGTAATGGAAGCAAGAAAGCATGTCGGTTTGCCAAGAGGTTGACGCCATGATCATCGGAGGAGGAATGGCTTTCACCTTCATCAAGGCACGCTAATTGTTCACCGATTGCTACTAATAGCGTTCCTAGTAGCGATGCACCTTGTTATTAGTAGCTTCTTGTTCCTAGTAGCGATGGCCTCCAACCTAATAGCGATGGCCTCCACCTAGTAGCTTCTTGTTGCTAGTAGCATCCTTGCTGCTCAAACGGCCAAATTGTGGCTTGACTCCAGGTGATCCGAGGAATCAGCATTGGGAACTCCCTCTTTGACGAGGACAGCTGAGAGTGACACCGTGACACCGTTCTTTACTCGGGGTTTCTGGTGTTTCAATCTGCAGTCTTAAATTTCTCAGCGTTCGGCAAGAGCGTCTCGTGTTCCTGTGGAGGAAGGTTCAAAGATCGTTCCGGAGATCATGGAAAAGGCCAAGGCCAAAGGTGTCGACTCTCGGAGTTTCTGAGATTGCTTTTTGCAACGGATAATATACATATGTATATATATATATACACATCTGGACATACATGGACATACACACATATATATATATATATATATGCAGGACGCACGGCGGACGCACCCTTTTCCACTGAACTAAGGGGGAGGCTTGTGCCATAGGTACCAACCGGAGAGTACTAGGGACACACAATCTATACAACTTGCATGCCCGTGTCAGTTCCACTCTGAGGAACTGAGTGTGAGTTGAAAGACAGGAGTTGAGCGATTTTTGCTCGTACTTCACTTCCCATCAATCAAACACATCCTTTCCTTGCTGTTGGCGTTTGCGTCCAGAAAACATGAGCTCGTCATGAACAATCTTCCATCGTTGACCTAACTGGACAAAACGGCGCATTTGTATGTCCTCACCTCGCTTCGTGATGCTATTGGCAAGCATGGCCTGTGAGTTCACCCACCTAACTCTCAAACCAGTTTCCTGTTGGGATTCCTTCAAGGTGATCAGTTCCAGGTCGATACGTTTTTGGGCTCCTTTAGGCGTGATATATGGTTTGTCAACTCGGTCGAACACATTTCGGCTATCCGTAATCAGGGTCCCACACGTACGAGACACATGTTCATAAATGTTGTGACTGTCAGAATCATACCCCATGATTTCAGACCATTGATATCGAACCAAGAACAAGGTGTCTTCGGCGTCGATCGCGGCTCGCGCTTCAGCTGACCCTGGGGACCGACACACACGTTCGATCCTGCCGCTCTGCCAGAAAATAGGCGACACTCGATCGACTTCTCCTAACCCCAACTTTTTCCCAGACATTCCGATGAAGATTCCCTTCGAGCTATTACCATCATGTCTATTTTGAGAACTCGCATCAACCCAACAATAGAATTGAGGTTCTTCCTGAGGCTCAAATGGGAATATGTGCATTGGATCTTTCGCTGCCAACCGCATCTTGTACAAAAGGCTATTGACATCAAGGAGCGTCTGTACAGTGCTGGTGTTCACCTCGGACAAAAACAGACTTGTATATGCAACAAATCTGTATCCAACTTGGTTGGCATGCCAGCTCAGTGCTCCGAGCAGACCTCGTAATTCGGTCTTCTCTTCCGGAGTTGTCTCCTCTTTACTTTGTTTCTTTCTTTCTCGGGCGATTCGAATTTCTTGAACATCGCCCAAGTATTTGGTTTGTTCCAAAGAAAATCCACCGGATGGCGTGCTTTGCACATGAACTCCGCACTGGACAAAATCATCGCATTCCCACTCCTGCCACTTAAATTTTCGTTGGATGGCTTCCTGGAGTGCTGTCCATTCAGGAGACTCAATCCCGGTAAAAAGGAAGTCGTCAACATGTCCCGAAATGAGGGCTAGTGTCTCACCTGCCTTCTTGTAGCACCACATACAAGGGTCGCTTTTGAGTTGCACAAAGCCTAGGCTTTTGAGAAACTGGTTCATGGTCTCAAACCACTCTATGGGTGCTTCAACTAAACCATAGCAGGCCTTGCGCATTTTCACCACACTTTGTGGTGCAATGTTCATGGCTTTGCAGATCTCGACTGTCGGGATGAGGTACAGATCACGGCCAAATTCTCGGCCCTGCAAAAACGCAGCAGCGCCGTCGCCCTTTTTGATTTGACAGCTATATTTGTCTGCTATGTCTGGTCATAGTCGGGGCAAATGTCGGTCGGTGCTGGTATTCAGGGTCCATGTACCCCAAAACAACTGCTCTAGCGGAGCTGCCGTCTTCGGAGTGCTTCCAGGTCAATACCCATCTCATCCTCAATGCCTGGTGTCTTGCAGGTTGTAGATGTTCAGGCAAAGCCTGAAGAGCCTCTGCAGCGATGAACTTGTCCACCTCTATCTTCTTGGCACCAGCGAATTGTTCATGTTCTAGCGCTGACAAATGACGTTCAGATACTTCCACCGAACGTCGCTTCAAAGCACTCACGAAGTAGGCCACTGGATTGTTCATGAAGCGCTTCAACTTTCGTTGGTCTGTAGGCAGTTCAAGAGCCAGTTCCACTAAAGTATGTGGATTGTCCCAAGTGGTCCGCGTGTCTGCGGTCAGCCATGCTGTCTCAGGCACCAGCTCTTGCCACGAGGGTCCTGTGAAAAGTGCTGCATCATCACTGCGACTTGGCTTTGGACTTCTGCTCCGGTCTTGGTGATGTGACTGTTGTTGCTTGCCCGTGACTCGTCTGCGGTTTGTGGGGTATTCTGTGTCACCCAACTCCTCGGGCTCCACCAGAGATCGTTTGTTTTCTGAGGGCCCAGGACCGGTATGGTCTTGAAAGGATGCTTTGTGGAGGTCTCCGGCTAAACTGTTGAAGGTCCACGGTAGTTGTGGTGGCCTTGTGAGCTCATGCAAACATGTTTCCCGCATTGAGGCGGGTCTCAGTTGTTCCTGAGCCACTTTCACAAGACGATTGCCTCGTACCAGCCATACCACGCTGCTTGCCTCAACTGCCAGGACTCTCGCTGGGCAGACGTAGTTGCCTCGATTCCAGGAGTTTTGTCTTTCGGCGTTCCCCAGCTGTGTCCGCCAGTAGAATACCAAATCACCTGGAAAGAGGTCTTTGTGTGGATGATGTTTTGAGTTGCGGGCTCTGGTGAGTTTTTCCTGCACCTGCCAATCGATGAATGCTTTGGCTGCCCGTTGTCGCAACTGAGAGGCAACCTCCATCTCACCATCCGGAGACTGCATCATCTCCATCGGCAGGTCTGTAGTTCGTCGATCAAAGACTCGACCTTCAAGGTCTGGTTGCCTACCGATGGCATGTTGAAAAGGACTGTATCCTCGTACAATTTCTCGATGGTTCCAGGTGTAGATTGCTTGTTGGATCAACTGTGTGACATCCTGTTCAGCATCTCCGGCTGTCTTGGTGAGGAACTCTTTCACCCACTCAATGCAGCGCTCCACATGGGAGAGGTTCCAGTGCGCTTCGGCTAGAATATGGTCAAGGTGGATACCTCTTTCACTGAAGAAGTTCAGCATCTCATCCGATCGGAAAGCTCCCTCCGGATCAGATCTTACCACATCCGGCATGCCAAAATATGGAAACCAGTGGCTTGTAAAGAGTTCAGCGTATTCGGAGGCTTTGACTCCTTTTCCTCCGTCCACCCGCATGACTTTGCCAACCAGGAAGCGACTCGCCTCATCCATGACCAAGCTGAATGAGACTTGCTTCTTAGAGGTTGGATGTTTCCAGTATGCGGTGTCGACCTGCACACTGCGCCAGCGGTCGGTGTGAACCTCCAGATTAGCCTGGCGTCGAGGGTCAGGCCTCTTTCTTTCGTCACACGCGCTGCACCTAAATGATTTGGCTATGGCAAGCACATGGGGACTAACCTGTCTCCTTTGAAGTGTTTTGAGCAAGAGTTCATAACTGCCGTGTCCGGTGGCACTATGTATTTTGAACAACTGCTTCAAGATGCGATCACGTTCCTCTGGGAACACTTGTTGCTCAGGAGGGGAAAGATCTTCCCCCGCAAAAACAAATTCACTCCATTCCTGCATGCAAACATGACACGTCAGTTCTTTCGTGATTTTGTGAACACGTTTGCACCAACACCCTTGCTGTTGTTTGTGAATGTGTGTTTCCGTTTCGCATTCGCTCGCTCGCAAAACATGGACATCCGAATCGAGAACCGACATGTGATACACCACCCGTCGAACGAACTCCGGAGTGTAAAACGCGGTCATACGAGTAGCCTGTCCTTCACACAAAGCATGCGTTTTGTTCAAACAAGCACAAGTGTTATGCAAGCGTTCCGAGAGACGATGGTCGGTGCACTCCACTCGCCATTCCTTTCCTAAGGGAACACCAGTTTTGGGGTCTTTCAAACCAACCTGACAACCCGAAATGATGGCAGTAGAGGTGTTGCAGTGGTTTCTCCATTCATCCAGCAAATCCCATTTCCAAGCTCGACATCGTCGACTCCACTCCCAACACACGACCGACCCAGCCGCATGCGCCCAATGCGCCACCACGAGTGCTCCCACATGTTGTTTTCGGGCATCCACTTGTTTTTGTTTCAGGGCCTCTTGTTGTTCGGGAGTTCTTTGGTTACAGTTTTGAATGGGGGAAAAGGCACCACACTCGGTCGCAATCCATAAAAAACGAGGCTTCTTCTCACGGATGACCTTGATGGCCTGTTTCACCCCCTCGCCCGTGCGAAGGTCATACCCGTTCCAAACAGAGCAACGCTCGGCAGTGAGTCCCTTTTTCAAAGCTTCGGAGGTCAAGAGTGAATCTGGTGAACGCGCGAGTTCCATCAGAAACAGCCTTGAGGCGTCGCTTACGGACGCCCAAGCCTCTGAAAGGACGAACTCGCTCGCCTGTTCAAGGGACCTGAGCTTTTGAGGTGACAAGTGTTTCCACTCATCAGGGTGGCCTAGCCATCCATCCTCACGAAACTCCCGTCGGATGCCACCGATGTTCCAGCTCGGGGGGGTGGCGTCTTGTGACGCTTCTGGCCCTTGAGCTCGTCGAGCTCCTCTTGCATGGCCTTCATGGTTTCCATCATATCCTTCATTTGTTCGGTCATCGCCGAGGAACTTGTCGTGGCATCCGCATTCTTGCTCGATGACCCTGCAGCAATGGCCACTGTTGGTCGGCTGTTGGCAAGGGCTCCACGGTAACCGGACCTCTGGTCCTTCTGTGGTGTCTGAGGCTTCTCGATGGGATCGTGTTCCATCCTCTGGGCCCAACTGGCGAGTTGGCGAAGTCGCCAATCCGCCGTGTCCGAGTTGCCCACCTCGGCCTGAGCCCAGGTCAGGTACCCCGGATCGTGTTGAGCCACTTCCATGAAGTTCATGCCCTTGTACTTCCCAAAGTCGATCAGCGTTTCGTTGCTGCCACTGTGAATCAGCCATGACTTGAGCATCAAGCGCAGCTCCCCCACTGTGGCCTTGACCGGGTGTTCGATCTGGCGAGCCTGACACATTGAGCGTAGCTCGCCGAGTTTCGCATTGTTGATCTCCTTGAGAAGATTGTTGGGAGCTCCCTTGGGCTTGATGATTCCCTGACCTTCGCGAGACTCGCAAACCAGCATCCGGCATTCCGGAAGTGTGAACTCCGTCCAGGCAATGCGTTTCTGACCATTGGCCTCGAGTTCCTGAATGCATTCCGTCTTGCTCAGCAAGTAGTGTGGCTTCATGGACTTGTCCGGCCACATGGTCACTTGAGCCGCGGTTGCTTCCTGAGTGGTTGCCATGAGAGCAAGCGTCAACGACAACGGGAGTGTGGTCACAAGTTTGGACACGTGAATCAGATGGCTGCGGGGACGTGTGCGCATGCAATCGCTCAACCAGACACTCGACGGACGAACCTGACCTCACCTCATGTTCGTTAGTTTCACCAGTATCACCGACTTGTTGAGTTTCTTGGTTCACAGAAGTGGTTTCGGGCAAAATCAGCTTTCACACTCAGACCCAGGGTGATCTGAGCTGAGTCCGCATCCCTATTCGGGGTTTCCTACGAGCTGGCGAAGGCTCATCACGCGATTGGTGAGAGTCATGCCGCTTTCCAAAAAATCCTGCGTCAGTGGGATCAGTTGATGTCCCGTGGTGGAACGCTTGAGCTTCACTAAGGTGCGATCGTTGACCGCCGTGAACACCGCCTCATCGGTGCGAAAATCAATGATGGCACCCAACTTGCGCAGTGTCGCAACTGACACGAGGATTGGCGCACTTCCCTGATCCAGGGCGTGCACCTTTAAAGACATTTGCTGGGCTTCCGTTGGAACATGTACATAGCATGTTGAGACACACTGACTATGCTCACTGTTGCCGAAACCAAACGTAGGTCGTTCTGACATGTCTACTCGAAGGACCCCTACAGGTTCGGGCTTTGTCCTGCAGCTGTTCGATGGCGTTCACGGAGGCCATTGTCTTTGTGGCGCCACCATCCAGGACACCATACCCTGACTTGGTCGCCCGGAATCAAGTCATCTGGTGAGGCTTCCTCCAGATTGGTCCAGCAAAACGCTTCTGGTTTCACACAAGCACTTTCGGGTAGGACCCCGTACACGTACTCGGAGTGTTCAACGGCCTCATAGTTTTTGCCGTCCTCATTCTTCGTGGGGCAATGGGAGGTATCATGATCTTTTCCACATCGAGCACATGGTCCTCCGGTTCTGGTTGAACCTGTTGTGTTGTTTGGTCGTCGGTCCCCCATGCCTCCTTTTCCCTTCCCCTTGGAATAGCCCTTGCCACGATCCGCGGATGGCGCATAGAAGCGACGTCCCATCCGCACCTCATGCTGTTTGGCTCGAGCTTCGCGAAGGGTCACCCTCGCTTGCTGTAGTTGAGCCCAGGCTTCATGTTCCTCATGTTTAGCTTGTTGATACAAGGCCAAGGCATCCTCAGGGAGGTCCTCGTAGAAGCTTGTGTCTTCTTCCCATGGCTCCGTCTCATCTTCTTCCTTTTCATAGAGAGCCTGTTTGGCTTCTCCATTCCGCTTCTTGATTGTCTCATCCGTGAAGTGGCTCCGGAGAGCGACTTCGACGTTGGCGAGGGAGAAATTGTTCTTGACCTCGCTCTGAATCAAACTGCGTTCCATGCCGTCCAAGTTGGCCTTTTCAAGGAGAAGCCAACCCTTGATGACATCAGGCAGGATCTCGACGAAATCTTCCTCATCATCTTCGTCTTCTTCAGCGATGCTTGTGTTGGACTGGAGATTCCAGTTCCATGTGGTCTCCCACGTCGACCACCACCAAGCATCATCCCAGGTCCATTCGGTCTCACCCTGGGCTTCTTCACCATAGTCCTCAGTGGGCGTCGCCTCGGTGTCACCCTCGGTGGCAAGGTCCGATGAGCCCCCCCCTGTGGACGGCCTTGGTGTAGACACCGACTGTCTCCGTCCTGAGTGCCAGGCCTGGCTGGTCAGGTCAGGAAGTGACTTTTGTTCTCGCATCACGCGAGTCAGGGCCTTGCAGGTCCGTGCGTACTCTTCACGGTGTCTTACACAAAACGACACCATGGATTCGCCGTGGCGGCGCCGCAGTAGCTTGAAGTAGGTCTTGAGCTGGTTGGAGATCTCCGGAAGAGCTGGCTCGCTCATCATCTCTTTCAGACAGCGCAGGAGCTTTCCAACGCCATCCTGGGACGAGAGCCAGCCGCGCTTCTTGTTCGCTATTGCTGTGCGTGCCGCTCCAGTCAGCTCGGCTGCCAGCCGTGGACCACATAGGTAGCGACTTTCCCACTTCACCGTCTCCTCGTACATGTAGGCAGCCCTGCGATACTCCGACCAAGTGGACGGAGTACCATCCCATGCAGGGATGCCATCTTTGGACTTCGTGACTGTCATTAGGCTCCTTCTCACTCACAGCCGGTGCGCTTCAGCGCACCGACTCACACACCCTCAGGGCCCGATGCAGGCCCCCCCTGGATCGCCGGCCTCGAGGAACTCAACGCCTCGCCGCCCCACACCGCGCGCAACCGCAATGCAGAGCTCCGCTACCGTGCAGGACGCACGGCGGACACACCCTTTTCCACTGAACTAAGGGGGAGGCTTGTGCCATAGGTACCAACCGGAGAGTACTAGGGACACACAATCTATACAACTTGCATATATATATATAACGTGGTGTTTTTGTAAAAGCTCAAGGGTCATGCACCGCTTGAGGGCTTGAAGCAATTTTTGTTCGATTCTGTTTTGAAAAGTCACGACTTTTTCTGAGACGAGTTTGTGGAGTCTCCAAAAGAAGTGGTTTGTTTAGAGAGGAATTTGAAGGTATGGCCTGTGGACTGAGGAGATTGTGCTGCCCATTGACTTTGTATGTTCTTCCAAATATGGAGAGGAGTGTCATGGCTCTCGGCACTTCCCGCTCGGCAGTTGACCCTCAGTTCCCAGGACGGCGAGATTAAGAATGCTACCGTTGAAACTGGAATTCCGGAAGGTGGACCGTCTTCGCAAAGTGTATTTGTGATCCTTGTGATACTTTTGCTTTGAGTGCTTTCTTTTTGCTTCACAAAAGTGCCTTGAGCCTTCACAGGTTTCATGGGCCAAAGCCTAAGGAGTCCAAAGCCCTGGAGTTTCAGATTTGAGTTGATTGCTGAGGCTTGGACTGTGGCCCCGAGACCAACAAGCTGGAAGCTCAGCAAGACCATAGCGCAATTCTTCACTGGCAGATACGCTTTTACCAAAATACATTCACATGATGTCTTAGGTTGAATGCGGCCACCATTGCAAGGAGTTTCGAACAGACGAATAAGAGGAAAACATAAAAGACACGATAAAAACAAGAAGAAAAATGGAGTGGTACGCAGTGACTGGAACTTCGATGCAGTACCAAAGCCCAGGCTTTTGACATTCAGCCTAGCATTTAAGGGAAGGAAGGACTGAAAGAAGAGAATGGAAGAGGGACATGCGGGGTCTTTGTGTCGGGCAGGAGCAAGACCATTGTGTGGAATGGGCCCATGGGAGTCTTTGAGATGAAGGAGTGCAGATGCCTTTTCACGATGTCTTGAGGGTGACAAACAGGGCCCGGAATATGGCCTGACGCCAACTTTCAGGCCTTTGAGCAGGGCACCAAATGCCAGGATGCTCAGTTCCAAAATAGAAAGTCGCAAGAACAACAAGAAAGCAAGGACCTGCAAAGGACCACAAGGAAGCAAAAAGAAAGAAGACAACAACCTCTGGAAAGTGAGATGGGTTGCTGCTGCTGTTGTTGTCGTCTTTCTTGAGAGGGATGTTGGAGGTCATCAGGAAACGATTACTATGAATCCAACCTTTTTGGGACATGTTCCTAGTGCCAGTCTGTCCAGCTTGCATCCGCCATAAGAAGAATTAAGGTGAAGGAAGACACGTCACAGCACGCAAGCTTTTGAGATTGATGGTTTTGACTTTGTGTTCATTTTAGTGCAAGAAAACGAGTCCCCAGAAATGAAGGTGCTTGGCGGATCTTGGGGGGGTGTATTCAAACGGAGTATTCTCTTGTCTTTTTAGAGGAGTAAACGGGAGGTGGACCTGGGTCCATTTTTACTTTACTGTGTGTATATGTACATATATATGAGGCCTCAAGTCCAACTGTCCTCTCAAAGAGATTTCCTCTCCGCCAAGTCATGATGGACAAGATTGTGGAAGTCACGAAGGAAGGCACCGTTACCGTCCGAACCCAAGACAACCGGAGGAAAGAGATGAATCTTGTACAAGTTCTCAGCTTTTGGTCAGGTTTGAGTCAGCTTTGAACAGGAATTAGGAAGTTCCGTAGGTCCGTAGGGACAAGCGCAGACGTCTTCCATCTGAGTTCTTCGTTCTCGTCTCCTAAAATTTTAAAGGTCTGAAGACTTAAGAACCGTTGAGAACGCCATAATTCTATGAAGAAGCCGGCTGATCGCCTGTCAAGAAAGCGTCAAAGTGAAAGACACAAGCCGCAGGATCCACTCACATGAGCTGCCTTTGGGCCCAAAGTCAGTTGCACCTCGATGGTACTCCTCCAACTTGGTGACAAATGCCACAAACACACACCTTGAAGGTAGAGGCTCTGATGTGAGCCTTTTTTCCATAAGGTCAAAGCTTTAACAACTCTGTTGAAAGCAAGGAGATGCCCCTAGTATGCTTGCAGTAGGTCTGCTCACCCCCACTGCCAACAACAGACCATGCCGAACAGTAGAAAACCTCCTCATTCCTTTTCTTCCTCTCTTCGATTTGGAGGCCATCGCTATTAGATTCCTTGTGCCTTGTGCCATTAGATTCCTGTTGTGGAGACTCTGTGGACCTTCTTCGTTTCTTTCAGGTGATTGGCGGCGGTGACACTGCAACAGCCTGGGCCACAGCTTTTTTGATGGAAGATGTGTGAGCATAACGGCGGCTGGAAATCGAGGCACATTAAGATTTTTCCTTATGTATGGCAAGACCTGGTTGTATGTTGTTTTTCAGGCATGCAAGAAGTACGACACCGAAGACAAGGCGTCACTTAACCACGTTTAAGACAAGGCGTCGTTCTTTAAGCCGGAGAGGTAACGCATTGCAGCACGGGCGGCGGAGCTTCCCTGGAGCTTTTGGAGGGCAAAGTTCTGCCTGGCGTGGCTGCTTTGGACGACGCTCCGGCGGGCGCAGGCCAAAACGAAAGGCATAAAGAATCTAATAGCGATGGCCTCCAACCTAGTAGCGTCCTTGCTCCTAGTAGCGATGCCCTTTGTTCCTAGTAGCTTCTTGTTCCTAGTGGTAAGGCCAGGAGCCCCTAGTAGCGTCCTAGCTCCTAATAGCGATGGCCTCCTACTGGTAGATGCAAGATTGACAATATGCTTTGGTGACGCAAGATTCTTTTGTGCTCCGGCCTACCGACGGAAATGTCGAATCTCATTTCAGTGTGGGGATCGAGATTGAACCAGTTCTGCTGTGGTGAGACATGCGTGTAGCCACATTCTGTTGTTTGCGCAGGTCTCAGATGAGTTTGTAGCTCTAGTACCAAACATGGCATATGTGCGTAAGCATCACGCGTTTTTACCAGCCGAAAACCCGAAACTGTCCGTGCAGGTACCACGATCCTGCAAATTCGAGCGCGCGAGATCTTCGATTCCCGTGGCAACCCAACTGTGGAGGCAGACTGATCAGAATCAGATGCTTTTGTTCTTGTGAAGGAGAACGACGTAGGAGTTTTGCCTCACACATATGCTCTCTCACAACTGCCTCACAGTACACACGCAAACACTCTCCTTCACTTCCTTTTTTGTTGCCTGTTGCTTTACTCCTTCACTCAAAATTTGGTCGCTATCCCCAGCTTTCACTGCCAATCAGCCTGCCTTAAAGTTTAAGATCTAATTTGGAAATTGTCCAAACCAGATTTTGATCCTCGAAAGTGGGAAACATTGACTGCTGACAGATGGCCTATACCAAAGTCATCCAAAGTCTGGGTACATACAGTTTCTGTAATGTACAGCAGCCTGTAACGTCAAACATTTTTCAGGTGACCTACCTCAGGAGTTCTTCGCCAGGTGGACCTGTGCACTGAAACAGCGCTTTTCCGCGCGGCTGTTCCCAGTGGTGCCTCAACGGGCATCTACGAGGTCCGAATGCAACGATGAGCAAAAAGAGAACTGAAAGAAAAGGAAGCGAGCAAAGAACAATTAAGGATTCTACTAGCAATGGCCTCCAACCTACTAGCGATGGCCTCCTATGGGATTCAAGATGAAGGGAGCAAACTATGGTCCTTATGAGCGGAAAAGTGAGCAATGCGTGAAGAAAGAGAACCGAAAGAAGAATGTCGTGGAAGAGAGACAAGATGTCTTTATGCTACGCGCTACACCCGTCGTCCAGTCTTTAGGCCTTGGAACTCCGAGATGGCGACAAGGGCCGCTTACTGGGGAAAGGTGTTTTGAAGGCACACGCGTTTTGGGAACATATCGTTTTTCGTCGACCACTGCAATTTTGCACAAGTTTTTCATCTCTAGTGAACTTGCACCTGTGATGCTCAGGCAGTGGAGAATGTGAACTCACTCATTGCCCCCAAGCTGGTGGGGATGGACGTGCGAGAGCAGAAGCAGATCGACGAGGCGCATGGGCGACCGTTGTGAAACCTTCGCCGAAAAGTTTTGCCTTGTTTGTTTTCTTTTCAATATATTGATGAAGGAAAAGCAGATGCATTCTGGGACGTACGATGCCCCACGATGCCACAGTTTTGCTGTATCCTGTCCTTTCGCTGGCAGGTTGGAGCCATTGCTATTAGGTTCGAGGCCCTCCCTATGGAGGCCCTCCCTAGTAACCTAGTACTTGTAGGTTGAAGCCATTGCTATTAGGTTCGAGGCCCTCCCTAGTACTTGTAGGTTGGAG